GCGACCAACCCAGCTCTTGGGTTCGCTCCTTCCTTGATAATGATCGTGGTAATAATAGAAAAAAAGATCCTTTGCCCATTATCTCCTCATCTTCCTATTTATAAGCCACAGCTTCCTTGGACATTTCCAATTTTCCAAAGAATCTCCGAGGCTTTCCTAGCCACTATAGTTTTGTTTTTTTATCTTCTTTGTCTAAAAATAGGTTTGATTTGCTTCACCTATGAGAATTTGATATGGCAATGAAGTAAGATTTTGATATGCATAACCCTTGAGAGTGATGTTAATGGGAAAAATCTTTTAGACCCAAATCCAGTTGATAGCTAATGTTGTGAAAATTTTTCCCTTAAGGGACTGTTGATAGAGGGTTTCTTTTGAATCCCTTCTTTGGGTGGACCAACTACTATTGATGCTCGACAAAGTGGAGCAGGCATTTCTTGGCTTATTCCATTTGTGGTAACAAACATGCTTCCCAAACTTTTGAATCCGAAAAATTGAGTTGCTGTTATAATGTATGGTCAAATTTTAAAGCTGTTTCTCTTCACGGAATTCCTATCATGCTCTGTTCAATGATAATATGCTAAACTTTTTGAGATCTAGTCACTATGTGTTTTACAATTTTCCTTTGAAGTTACCTTTGTGAAGCACAGTTTTGGCAGAAAGACGGGTAGATTTGTTATTCCTTAAAATAATTTGCCTTGCAATTTTTAGATGTTTAGATGCCAAATTTTATGTTAATGTTCCATTTGAGGTTGACTGAAAAACCAAATATCGCTTTCTTCTTTCTACCATAGGCCTTTGTCACGAACCCACGAGCTGGGTTCACCTGGAGGTAAAAGAAAAAAAAAAAGTAGGAGGAAGGAGAGGATGGGGAAGAAGATGAGGGTAAATTGATAATTAAAGGTAAAAAATTTAATCATGTCATCAATTTTTGTCAGATGGATTTTCCACGTAATTTAGTAAAAGAAAAAAATGTTTTTTTGTTAATTAACTTGCCACATCAACCAAAATTTAACGGAAGGACTAAAAAGGCTTTTTCCTAAAGTAGAGGGACCAAAAAGGGTATTTAACCAACTTTATATGAGAAGGGCAAATTAATTAAAAAAACCCCGTTATAGATTCATTTATACACAAATTTTATATTATATTTATATAAAATCTCAACCATTTATCTTTCTATTTTAATGATTGAGATTTATTCACATTTATTAAAAATAATTATTTTTTTTACGTAAAAATGATAACAAATCTTTATTATTGAAAGTAGAAAGATAAATAGCTGAGATTTTATGTAACCGTAATGTATAAAACTTGTGTATGAGTGAATCCCTCATATTTTAATGGTTTTTGAAATTCTTGGGGGTGCAAAGTTTACCTAGCAAATTAATTGAGAGACAATCTTTTTTAATACAATTCTTATGAAAAATGAAAATTATATAAAAAGGTTGTTTCCATATCATTATTTAGTTTTTAATATTATGATTGAGAAAAAGCTTTTTGTACAACTTTTTCATATAATTTTATTAATCATTTAATAATTGACTCTTTATTTTCTATTGAGATTACTAATATTATTATATGTATTTACACTTTTAATAATATGTGAAAGTTGAAGAAAAGATTTAAATAAGGATGCAAATCTTGAATTTGTCTCAAAAAATTGACATTTTTTTTACTTTGAATTTGTTTCAAATTAATTGTTATTCTTTATTGTTTAAAGTAGACAAATATTTATTCTGTATTAACCCTATCATTATCTTTTTATTTTAGACAATCATCTTATCATAAAAAAAAAAATTCTCTTTTTATCTTTTATTTCTTTTTTAAAAATAATATAGGTAAATATAAAAATTGTCCTTAAATTCTTAATTTGAAAAAATAAAATAAAAAAAAGACACTTATTTCAAGAGAGAACAGAAGGAATAAGTGAAAAAAATTTAATTGATCTTATTCTTCTTATTATTTTTCTATTTTTTTTAGGGAGTATCCAAACAAAATACTTAATTAGCATCCTAATTCGGCATCTACTTACCATATACTCATATTCTCTTTTCTTATCAGTTGTTTACTTTTAAATCCAACAATTAAATCCTATCAAAAAAAAAAAATCCAACAATTAAAATTAATTATTATTTATAACTTTAAAAACATTGGATCGTGAAATCAATGTTGATAATTTACCTTGTACCTAAGTAAATCCTAACTTATATGAAAGCAAATCCAAATGATATGAATTCATCATAAAACGAAAAAAGCATTGAAATTAGTTTGATATATCTCATAAACTGGAGCGAGTACGTTAGTCAATGAATCTGCAAGACAAAGGCTAAGTTTAATAATACAAGTTTGTAGCTGTAAGTATATATATTTTTAGTTTTATAATATCTTAAAGATATATAAAATAT